GGATTAACCCTGCTTTGCCGAGTGCGTGCGCTTGGTTGAGTTCATGACATCTTCCCCATGAAAGGGTGTACAGTTCCAGCTGACCTTGTGGGACAAACTCGACCTTTAGCTTAATGTGGGGTCTGAGGGCTCCGGTCGATTGTATTAGCGCAAGGCAGTTGGAGGCCAGACGGTTGGAATGGCTGCTGGTTAGTGCACTGCCAGGGGGCTCGCTAATCCGTTCGAGGCGCCAGGTCTAGCTGGGTAAGCCCCCCTTGCCGATTGGGGATTGGGGGTAGTGGATTGGTTGGAGAGGAATCTTGTTGATTCATAAGTGCCCGAGCGGGGGACACTTCTTGTGCGCATGCTTTTTGGATGTCCACTTGTCTGCAGACCAATCTAGTCAATATGTGCGTTCGCGTATGAAGCATGGGGTGATCACAAAATTGTCTCTTGTGATAATCCATGTGTTGCTTAAAATGCAGCGGTGTGCATGTGCAGCAGGCACGCTGATTAACCAAGAATATAGATTATACTTTGATTTCAACTACTTTAAATTTACTTACGTCTGTTACCTCTAATGAAGGATAGGCTCGCCGAATAACATACTCTCAAAACTACTCTGTCTATTCTTACATGTCTGCTTTCTATTCTCAGCATAATGTGTTTCTTTAACCTTGAAGATTTCAAGTTAGGGCTTGCCTTGTAACACAGCTGCTTTTCACAATATGTGTTCTATCGACTTTAAACGCTTTTTCTCAATTTCTTCCTCAGTTAGAATCTAGTTAGTAAAATGTTATATACATTATCATTCTATTCCCATCAACATATTAACCTCCATACTCATAGTCGCTTTTTTATGAGTTCTGATTTGTATTTACTTAAATACATAAATATTGTTACCGATGGGGCAGCATAAATTTTTCGTGAGTCACAAAAATGATTGAATTTGTGAGTTTGAATAATGCGCAGACGCTCAAACCGAAAGAGGTGATTTCCTTGGGAGACCACACCCTGAAACCTGTGACTTACATGTCGTCTAATCTACAAGTCAGTGGAAGCAATGTAATGAGATGTAGTCCAATGGTACTCGGCAGCCAATGTTCACCATTGATTTTGGATCTAGAGTTTTCTAACCTCTCTTGATAGATTCTCCATATGCACCATCCCTGTTTTAAGCATCTACGGGAAATCCGATTTTTTGTCTTGTTAATTTCTTAAAACACGATAGAAGGCAGTTAGTAGGACTTCCCTTGAAAAGCATTTGAATTATTCCAACGTTGGCTATTTGGACTCATTAGTTAAGTGAATAAGATGACTAGCATTTAAAGTAGCAACTCCTTTTACTTGGTTTGAATAACGGAATGAACATCTACTGTAGAATAGAAATACATCCAGCAGACGAATGCTCAGCAATACGCGATGCACATTCTGTGAATTCCACTACTACTGTGGTGGATACTACTCACAAAGTGATAAATAAGTAGTATGCAACTGAGTATTGCCGAGAAGTTAATACCAGAAAGAAGTGTCGGATAGGATAGTATATTGCGATCAAAGTGTTCTGAAGATGAGGGAACGTGTAGTAGAAGAGAGTCAATAGTCTACTTGGTTTACAAATGGAAGACTGAATGAATTGTGTACATAGTTTGTCAGTAAATACAGTCTTCCCTAAACATACAGGCATACAAATTCCATCTATTCTGAACTTTTCGGTAAGATCACAGTACTACTAACAATTATACTACTAACAGAAAGAAACCAGTCCTATCAAATGATATGAACATGAGAAAGTTGAATGATAAAAATACAGACAGAACCACACATCTATATCATGTTGGTATATTCATAAATAAAACGTCGAAAAACATATTAACATAATTGACATGTGAACGAACACACTATGTGATTGTGATCATTTGTCAAAAATCATATGTCGACTGATCATATTTTTTTCACTCGTACATAAATAGACATTTGACATACACATACGTCAACACCAACACCACCAACAACAAGAACATGCAACCTAGATAATCATTAGTCATGAACCAATTAATATGGATAATTATTATATTGAGTGATGATACCATAAATGTTAACTATCTATCGGTCAAATTAATATAGTAGGTCATGATTGATGTCAATGCCATTTTATGCAGTTATCAACATATCTCACAATATTGTGTGTTACGCCTACACGTAAACACGTCAACTTGATATACTTGAACTATTACGAGTTTATCTGGTCGGAAAAACAAGAGCGAGGATCGAGGATCCGGCGACACGACATGCTACACAAATCCGATTATCCAAACCCCCATTTTCAGTGAAAATAAGAAGACTTGATATGAAGTAGAACATGCATTCTACAAGCATCCAGAAAGTACGAGGTCCGGATCCAGAGGAGAATCAGGATCCCGGACTAGGGATCGTGGTCATAAAATGTCACAGATAATGCGTATATATACATTTTGGTCGAATAGGAAACAGCGTCGAATTCTGTGGCATTGACAGTTAAGACGACCAATATGAAGTAACATTTGAAGTGACATTGATAGTCAGAAATCCACCAATAGGATGTGACCAATAATTCTCTTCGGATACTGGATGAATATCCTAACATTGTGACAGTTCTGAGTGAACCGGTCAGAATTGAGATGACAGCGTCGTGTATTTCGCACGAAATCGAATGTGCAACGACAGGCAACGTGTAGGTTATTGATTATGCAGAAAGTACAGTTGGACAATCGATGATTTGTACAACAGGCTTGTAACCAATGGGAATGTGAATTTCGCAATGGTGTTCAAGCTGAATTACATAGAAAAGGCAATTGATCTCCAAGTAACTTTTAAGTTAAAGTACCTGCTGACTCTTACTCTACAAGTCTTTTCAATTTGTATGCAGTGGAAAGATAAGGCATAGCATCACGACTGATGTGAGTTCGTGATGAAAATCCTAATTGAAATAACAAAACCAAACTCAGAACTGTATGTTAAATTTTCATACCTAACCACAAGCATTTCGCATTATAACTGGTCTCGATTGGAGACTCTAGGGCTTGATGTAATGCCCATATAGACAAACATAGGATCAAGAAACAAATCAAATGGGGATACCATCAAAATAAAGATTCAGACAATGACAGATTAAATGTGAATAACAACCAATCAAAATCGAGGTCAACAGGACAAACTATGTGCCATAAGTGGAGAAATTCAAATACTTAACTTCTTCGACCTGAAGTTTGTTCAGAAGAAGAACAATGACAACTTCAAGACCAAAACGTTCATCCACTAAGTTACAAATTTCCTCCACCATCTCGAAAATGATTTGCATTATCGTGTTGTTGTTTTGACTGCGATTTGATCAGTCATAGCTGAAACTCAGACAATCTATGCAGATTGTGTTGCAAGCCAGTTGGTGCTAGGTTCGAGGCCCAGAGTGAAAAACAACTAGGAGATGTAGGGACATTAAAGTAGGCAATGCTGTCGTTAGGGAAAGAGTACTAGGTAGGGATGGCAAATCAATAGATGAAGTAGTGAAACTTTATCAGTCGAAGTGGTTGAGACATGTCCCAACCGCAGCTGCTACCTTGATGTGGTGGTGGTCGGGCTTGCCTATCGTGATGACGCGACGGAGCTATACTGGCTGGAACATATGTTCCTGAAGGTTCTACCATGCCAGGCAGGTCGATTGGAGAACGATGAGACTAAAAGCAGCTACTCAAGGTCTGAGGGTGAAGTCGTACTGCTGACTGCAGAGGGGTGTGACAGCAGTAAGGTGTTTCCCTCGGACAACCAGCATGTGCAGCGATGCTGCCTTCTCAAAAGCAAGGAAGGATTTACAAAAAGTTGACCCTAAAAATGTCACACCTCACCCTACTTCACGGATTTCCGTCTCCTTGGGTAAGGGTGCCCACTAAGCGCTTTCAAGAGCGGAGCTAATACTCAAAAAAACTTTCATCAAAACGTCGTGCGTGACCGGCCTCAAGCAACTGTCCCTTGGACTCTGCGGTCACGCTCCCAGGTCTCCAAGATCAACACTAATCAACCCCCCTTTTCAGCTCCCTCAAGAAACAACCTTCCAAGGTGTGGGCAGAGGGGAAGTGACAACCGCCCTCATACTCGTAACAGCACACGAGACCAAAGTAGTCAAAATCAAATTTGTCTGTCTTTTGGGACATGTGTTACGAATGCCCAACCACCGACTGCCTTGACAAGTTATGTTTTGTGGTGTAGGAGTAGGTTGGGAGAAAGCTAGGGGTGGCCAAACCAAAACATGGCACAAATGTATGAAGTCACTGACAAGTGGACTGAGTCATATAGGCAGATGTAGGCTACTTGGTTAGGGTCCGCGGGACGATAGTCACCGATGGTTAGAGATCTTGAACGACATGGCTCAAAATCGTTTGCAATGGCGCAGGTGAATCCCATCTGTGTTGCCTCAAATTCTAATCTTCTGGATTCGTCAACACTTCTACCTTTGTCTTTCTGAATTTATCTCACTGAATTATACTTCTCGAATCATATCTTCGAACCCTAATCTTCTGCAACACTGTTAATACTTCCACTATCTCTACCACTATGAGATTTGAATTGACAATTGCGTCTCTGTGTTACTACGATACGGCAACTTGAACTGATGTACGTAGGTACGAAGTCCTACTTTGTAACTGACTAACTGACTGTAAGCACATGCATCTGGAAACTCCTAAACATCATGAAAAGCACATTTTAGTTTCCAATGCTAGTCGAATTTCATCCGCAAAATATCAACCGAAAATTATCTATCGAATTTGCATCACAAAAATTATCCATGTAGCGTAGTTAAATATTGCCATTTTCTAAAATAAATGAAACTTTACGAAAAAAAAAACGCCAGAAAAATTGACAATTGCACGTACATGAAAAAAACCAGGTACCAATGTTTGAAACCTGATAGTTTATACACACACACACACACAGACAAACATCGTTTATCATAATAAGAGCGAAAAACAATTTCACTTTCAACTTACTTTATCACGTAATGCTTCACCCCATATATTGCTGCATGCATTCCATATATCATAACTATCTGATACACAAGCAAATGTACCATCAGGATATAAATTGAATAAATTCGAATAAGCACTAGTTTCATTCTCTTCACCCCATACAGTCATTGCACTATAATCAAACAACAAAACACAGAACAGAACAAACATTATCGGGGTTGTGGAGATTGCTGAGTTACAGTTTTGTGAAATCATGAATCAATCACTTTTTAGACGACCATTTGAACCGTTGAAGCAGTGCGTACGACTCGACTCCTGCCAATTGCAGGATTCGAGCCCCTTTGGGTCTTGGCGACTCACTGGTCCAGAGATTAAGCGTTCGCTGGCAAAATCGAAGGTCCTGGGTTCGAATCCTGCCGAAGGGGTTGTAGAGATTGTTGAGTTACGGTATTGTGAAATCATGAATTAATCATTTTTAGACGACCATTTGAACCCTTGAAGCAATGCGTACCTCCCGACTCCTGCCACTCGCGAGATTCGAGCCCCTTTGGGTCTTGGCGACTCATTGATACAGATGTTAAGCGTTCGCATGCAAGACCGAAGGTATTGGGTTCGAATCCTGCGGATGGCAAGAGTCCTGGATACGCACTGTTGATGAGTCTCATACCAAGACGAAATGGCCGTGTTCAGGGCTTCCCGGGTTTCAAATGTTGGTATATGAGTGATCGACTCGTGATTTCAAAACATCGATTCACATTGTGAATAAGACAATTACATTTTACAATGATCGATTACCGAGTAGCAGTTGTAGTGCCACCACATATATTCCAGTTCGCTTACATCTAACTTGGTTAAGCCCTTTCGATTAATTTATTTAACCAAGCTATTTGTATTGCAACAATTTATATGTACCATTCATTCTTATTATTGTCTGGTTTGTATGATGAGCTCACATGACGTGTCCCATTTGTTATTTAACCCTGTCGATCATTCGTCGCTTTTATTCATGTGTGCCTATTTCGCTTGTCACATGTCTGTCTTATATTTGTCTGACTATATATTCTTAGTCATGCTCTATCTCTTGGAGTTGGCTCTTAGCCTTCTGCAATCCGCTTTGCCTATTCTTTCGCTTCGTTCGCTTATTTTTTCGCAGCTTTTCAACTTCGCTATATTACTTACTTACTTAAGCCTGTTACCCCCAATGGAGCATAGGCCGCTCACCAGTTTTCTCCAACCAACTCTGTCCTGGGCTTCCCTCTCCAATTCTGTCCATTGTTTGTTCATTCCTCTCATATCTTTCTCTATTTCTCGGCGTAGTGTGTTCCTTGGCCTTCCTCTATTCCTTTTGCCTTGAGGGTTCCATGTGAGGGCTTGTCTCGTGACGCAGTTGGGTGCTTTTCGTAGTGTATGTCCTATCCACTTCCACCGCTTCTTCCTGATTTCCTCCTCCATTGGAATCTGACTTGTTCTCTCCCACAGTTCGTTGTTGCTGATGGTGTCTGGCCAACGAATACGAAGTATTTTGCGTAGACAACTGTTAATAAACACTTGTATCTTATGGATGATGGCTTTCGTAGTTCTCCAAGTTTCCGCTCCATATAGTAGAACTGTCTTCACATTTGTATTGAAAATCCTGATTTTGGTTTTGTTTGAAAGTTGTTTGGAGTTCCAGATATTTTTCAACTGTAGAAATGCAGCCCTCGCTTTGCCAATCCGCGCCCTCACATCTGCATCCGATCCACCTTTCTCGTCGATGATGCTGCCAAGATATGTAAAGTTGTTAACGTCCTCGAAAGCATCTCCATCAAGCGTGATTTGATTGGTGCATGTTGTGTTGCATCGGAGAATTTTGCTCTTTCCTTTATGTATGTTGAGACCTACTGCTGCAGAGGCTGCTGCTACACTGGTCGTCTTCTCTTGCATTTGTTGTTGAGTGTGCGATAGAAGAGCCAGGTCATCTGCGAAGTCCAGATCGTCGAGCTGCGTCCTAACTGTCCAGTTGATACCGTGCTTCCCTCCAGATGTTGACGTCTTCATAATCCAGTCGATGACCAGGAGAAAGAGAAAGGGTGAGAGTAAGCAACCTTGCCTGACACCGGTCTTCACCTCAAACGAGTTTGTCAGCTGACCTCCGTGCACGATTTTGCAGTTGAATCCATCATAAGAATTCCGTATGATGTTGACTATTTTCTCAGGCACACCGTAGTGTCGAAGAAGCCTCCACAGTGTTTTCCTATCCACGCTATCAAATGCTTTCTCGTAGTCGATGAAGTTGATGTAGAGTGGTGAGTTCCATTCAATTGATTGTTCCACAATGATCCGTAATGTAGCAATTTGGTCAGTACATGATCGATCCTTACGAAATCCGGCCTGTTGATCTCGAAGTTGAGCGTCTACGAAGTCTTTCATTCTGTTTAACAATACTCTGTTGAAGACTTTGCCTGGTATTGAAAGAAGAGTGATGCCTCTGTAGTTCTCACACTTGCTGAGATCGCCTTTCTTTGGTATTTTGATCAGGTATCCTTCTTTCCAATCTGATGGTACTTGTTCCTCATCCCAAATCTTCTTGAAGAGGATGTGAAATATTTTTGCAGTTGCTTCTACATCTGCTTTCATTGCCTCTGCTGGAATGTTGTCTGGTCCTGCTGCTTTGCCGCTCTTGATTTGTCTGATGGCCATACTGATCTCCTCAATCGTAGGTGCGCCAATATTAATTGGGAGGTCCTTGGATGCTGCTTCGATGTTGGGTGGGTTCAGTGGAGCTGGTCGGTTCAGTAGTTCCTTAAAGTGCTCTACCCACCTATTTCGCTGTTCGTCAGTGTTGCTGATTATTTTCCCTTCCTTGCTTTTCACTGGTCGTTCTGGTTTACGATAGTTCCCGGCGAGCTTCTTTGTAGTTTCGTACAATTGTCTCATGTTTCCTTCTCTTGCAGCCTTTTCCGCCGTCATTGCTAGATCTTCCACATATTTTCGTTTGTCAGCTCTGATGCTCTTCTTCACTTCCCTGTTTGCTTCTGTGTATGCAGCTTGTGTGGTAACTTTCTCTGCTCTTGTTCGGCTGACATTCACTGCTGCCTTCTTGTTCCTCCTTTCTTGAATTTTTTCAAGAGTACCAACAGAGATCCATTCTTTGTGATGGTGCTGCTTGCGACCAAGGACCTCCTGACATGTTGAAGTGATTGCCTCCTTAATCCCTTTCCAATTGTTCTCCAATGTTGCTTCCTCTCCATTGAGTAGATCCTGAAAGGCCTGGAACCTATTGGTGAGGGCTATCTTGAATTCGTTGAGTTTTACGGTATCCCGAAGAAAGGCTGTATTAAACTTCTGTGATGTTGTCTGCCCCGTTGTCCAGTGCTTCTTTAGCTTCAATCTCATTTTGGCGATCAGCAAGTGGTGATCTGAAGCTATATCAGCTCCTCTCTTGGTTCTCACATCCTCCATGGTCCTTCTGAACTTTTTGTTGATACAGATATGGTCAATTTGGTTTTGAGTAGTGTGATCCGGTGAAATCCATGTGGCTTTGTGAATGCGTTTGTGCGGGAATATTGTGCCACCGATGACCAGTTTGTTGAAGGCACATAGGTTTGCAAATCTCTCACCGTTTTCGTTTCTTTCTCCCAGTCCATGTCGTCCCATGATGTCTTCATATCCAGTGTTGTCCATGCCAACCTTGGCATTCAGGTCTCCCATAAGAATCGTTAAATCCTTTGGTGAACATTTCTCGACGATTGACTGCAGCCTTTCGTAGAATTGATCTTTATCGTCGTCATTGTAGTCGTTGGTAGGTGCATAACATTGGATGACGTTCATTGTAATGTCCTCTTTCTTTGTTTTGAAGGATGCTTTGATGATCCTAGGTCCATGAGATTCCCATCCTATCAGTGCCTTTTGTGCATGTTTGGACAGCATCAGTGCAACTCCTTGTGTATGTGAAGCGTTTTCCTCTTCATGACCAGAGTATAACAGCAGTTCCCCTGAAGCAAGTCTCAGTTGTCCAACCTGTGTCCAATGCGTTTCACTGATGCCGAGCACCTCGAGGTTGTATCTTTTCATTTCTGCCGCAACTTGAAATAGTCTTCCAGTTTCCCACAATGTACGAACGTTCCATGTACCTAAAAAAATGGTTGCTCTGGTTGTCAGAAGAGGCATCGGCCCCGTGACTTCCGAGGGAACTCGGCTTTCATCACGAGACGTCATAATTCTTCTTCCAACTCCCAGGGCAGAGTTAAAATGGTTTGAATTATTTTTTCTGGTTAGCGTTTTTTTGGCAAGTGAGATTTCAACGGAATGGGGTCGCCAACCCCATGTCCAACCCTCCTCCTTTATCCGGGCTTGGGACCGGCAGTAGCCCCTAAGGTTCTACTGGCGGAGTTAACTTCGCTATATGATGTGTCCAAAATATAAACGTATTCATTACTTCGAATTTGCCTTCTGATTTATAAACCGTCAGGCGTTATCCGAACACGCAGATATAAATGGACCCCACACAGTAACTTAGCGTTTAGTTTCTGAGTAAATTCCACTATGCAAACAACAGTATCTTGAAGTCAAGTTAATCTTTATGAAACCTTAAATATTAGATTTGATGCTCGTTCTTCAGAAGTAGAGCTGAACAAAAAAATCCAACTTTATATATATATAGACCAACAAATAGTCAGAATAAAATCAGCTTAAAATTGAAATTTAAATCATTTCAGTTACGACGAATTAAGTCAGTCAGATGCAACGTAGAACTACGTATGTAAGTACATCAGTTCATGTTGCCATACCACATCACCACAGAGATGTAATTGTCAATTCAAATCCAACAGTAGAAGAGGTAGTAAAGGTATCAGAAGTAATCGGAGAGGTTAGGATTAGAAGATATTATTCAAGAAGTAGGATTCAATGACAAAAGTTTCGAAAGTCAAAACTATAGGGGTTGAAGAATTCAGAAGACTAGGATTTGAGAGAACACAAAGAATAAATGCACCGGCGCCATTGCGAGCGATTCTGAGCCATATCATTCAAGGTCTCTAACCATCGGTGACTATCGTCTCGCGGACCCCAACCAGGTAGCCTACATCTACCATCGTGACTCAGTACACTTGTCAGTGATTTCATGGATTTGTGCCATGTTTCGGTCTGGCCGCCCCTAACTTTCTTCCGATCTACTCCTACACTACAAAACAA